TCGCTAGTTAGATGAAAATAGGAAACGATCAAACCTGTCCCTACTATCTTGCTAGATCACAAATTGATCATCCATATATCTAAAAACAATTTAGGGGTCATAATTACCTTTTAAATTGAGCGTTCCTTAAACTTTGTCATGCAGTTATTCTCCAAAATCAAAGCTAAGTTATAACCCATCTATTCATAAAAGCGAATATATCTTCCATTCTATGTTTTCGTGATTCAGTGATGAGTACTACACCGTTGACATCAAGTTTCATGAGCAGGCGCAAGAACCTAATGCCTGTCCTTGTGTCTGTTCATAAAAATTGTCTTGAAAGATGAAATATGTATCATTTACGGATAGGTAAGAAGACTTAGAATGGGGGCTATTCTCATTTTTGGCGCAAGTTCATTTAGCCACAAGTATATAATTTAAAAGTACGTCTAGCGGGAAGGTTCATAATGCGCACGCAAAACATGTTTAGTAACTCACGCGGAGAAACCAAAATGTTAAATATGAAATTTCAGGAATTTTAGGGACAAATAATAGAAAAGAGCAAGTAAAAAAACAATCTTATCAACAAGTGGATTGTTGAAGGAGTCATTCTCTAAGCTAGCGAGTAAAAAGCAAGACAAATACAATTGCTCAAGAGAATTAAGGATAATAGGTTTGAAGTATTAAAGACTACTACTGGGAAATAGCACAACGAAGGCTAAAAGAACAATTTGTCAAGAGGATTGATTTTACTGTTAGCTTTAAAGAAATGTAGCTCAATATTATGGATAATGATTTTCATTGAAGATGCTGTTTTTGATGCTGAGGAAACGTCTTGGTATTGGGAAGTGTATATTTAATGGAATTAGTGAGAGAAAGAGGAGTGAAAATGACGAACCATTAAACATTGGGAAGAGGTCTATTTAATCTAGAATTAGGTTATCCCACTTACACTTCAGCCAAATCATGAGCGTTTCATATGCATATCACATGCTTAATCAAACATAAATATATGTGTAAATATATCATTAAAAAAATACAAGTTGTTTGAGGGAAGGTTAAGCATGCTTATTCCTCATGCTTATTAAGCACGCGGTCCTCACGTTTCACATATCATCAACAACCACTTACTTATCTGTAAATGCGTAAGTAGAACATAATATGATGAGATATAATAAAAATAGTTAGTAGTTTGACAAATGTAGACTATAAAAAATAATCGTAGGTATGAAGACCAAGAAGTGTGGCCTTTTGTGTGGTCGCAGTCTCCTTTCGTTCTTAGAGGTTGTTTCACCTTGTTTTCGCAACATGGTCATATTGGTAGGAAGACTTATTGGAACGCACCTAGTCCGGGGTCGATTGTCTGCATAATCATTTCCAAAGTTGAACCGTAGACATGGTACATTTCCAGGCGTTTCGCCTGCATCGTAGTCGGCATCATCAATGAGTCTCGCCATTCTTAGGACCATTCAACAACTCGTCAAAGAGACAAGTAAAGCCGATCCTTTGACAGAACGTGTGCTAACCAGTAATGGTATCTCCCCTTCTGCCCTGGGCTATTCACATTTCCTAAATCATCCTATCACACCTTCCCTGTCACAA